TTGCAATTCACACATAAATTATCCTGTAATTTTCTTCTCATGAGCAGCTGGGCTCATTATCATTTTTTTATTCGTGTTTCCGAAACAGCCGCCCTAATTAATCAGCCATAAATTAATTCCCTTCTCCTAATTTTTTTGACAACTGTAGCTGTCAAATCAAAAATCAAATCCAAAAACTTCTCATATACCTGAACCCTACCCCCAATCTTTAGACTTTTTTCCCAATGAGTTCGCGCCTTTTTCTACTCCCTATAAAAACACACCCCAATATTACATTCAAGGCTAGCCGTTTTCACTCTCGACGCACATCATCGACTACTGTTTTTCCGCACTTTCGGCTTACTATTTTCTACATATTCGACTTAGCTTCATTCACACAATTCTATGTCTTATTTAATTTCGTCTCATCAGTCAGTTTTCAATTTTCCAACTGTTCAAAGTTATAGCTCAGATGAGCTTTGAGACTGTTAAATGTTGCACATTCGTCGCATCACTGGTTCAATTACAGTAAGACATAAGCTCCTTCATTATAAGACAGTGTCATGTTTGTATCTTGTTTCTTGTTTGTATTCTCAAAATTATATTACTGCCACTCAACCTGAATCTAATAACCTTCTCAGAGTATATACAGTAAGTATAATAGGGCTCATCAAGGCTTCGCTTCATCGTTTCACACATCATCACGTCACATCTCATCATACATTTTATTAAGTTTTTACTTTAGCCATTTTCTCGCCAAATCTTTCACGTGGTCGTATGCGGGGCCCAGACATGCATGGGGAGTGGCACAGCGATCTTGGGGAGGCACTTGGCCGGTGAGCCTATTGGCAAAATTTTGATTCCGGAACTTGCGTAATCGCCGAGCTGAAATATCCGGACGAACGCACACACACACGCAAGTAAACACGCATACACATACACACTCCAGGAGTCGTCGCAATATGCGTTTTTACTCGTTTTAGGACGCTGTAATGCTGCACAGCAAAACACTTAAAAATCGTATTGTCGGGACCTTGTCGGCGTGTTTAAGTGTGCATGTATGTGATGGTGTGTATTCCGAATGCATTTTATCCAGAGGCTTCGATTCGGGAATCACAGAAGCTAGAGAGCTGAAGTTTTGAGATAGGGCTCCCTACCAGCATTCGATCACGCGAGCTCAAATTCAGCGTTCGTGTGCGCCCAAGTTTCATGTATGGCCAAGTGAAGGTTTTGGCGCCCAAATCAAATTTGAAACGCCCAAAAGTTAGGTAACTGAAATTTTAGGAGAATGTTTCCTGCCCACCTGTGACCCCGTAAAGTTAAATTTAGCCTTCAGATGCGTCTAGGTCTGGAGTATGGATGTATGAAGGTTTTAGAGCAAAAATTATTAACACGGGAACCAGAAAAGGTAGGAAGCTGAAATTTTAGGAGAATGTCTCTTGCTCGCACATGACCTCGCATACTCAAATCCAGCCCCTTGCATGCCTAAATCTCACGCAGGGACAAGTGAAATTTTTGGTGCTGGAATTAATAGTTCGGGGGCCATAAAAATTTCTGTACGTATGGAATAGTAATGTACTGGACACTTTTAATAGCAAAATTTTCCTGGACAGAATTGCAGAAACATTCGCTGGACACGATGGCACAAAACACACGACCGCAGCAGCTACCCTGATGCGCGTTGCTTTTTATGCGTTTTTGCTGTGCAACGCTATAGTAGCCCTGTAGTGCTGCTACAGCCAGCAAAAACGCATATTGTCGAGAGACTGTCTATGTGTTCGGAAGGCAAGTGCATTCTGTCACCCACTTTCATCTCAGCAACCAGGAAAGTTGGAAGGCTGAAATTTCA